ATATAATTGGTGTCATTTCATTTTACGATGTCAATGGTACATGTTCTTCACATGCTAAATAATTCAAGTTTGTATAAGAGTTTTTATCCATATTCAGGGAAGTACTTTCCTGAAGAGGAAGAGGAGGAGGGGCCTAGTATCTCGTACACTGTAGCTCAGCACCATGACAGCATGATGAAGGCCATGAGTGAAAATGTCACTACCAAGACCATGCTTGATGTAGAATCAAAGGTATACAACCATCAATAAAGTAGGCAGTTGTTTGTTTAAAATGTCCAACTCATTGCCTTTGGGACTACAATTTGATGTATATTATGATGCTTGTCAAAGAATCCTACTTTCTATTAAGGTCTCCATATTTTAGGATGTACCTTTTAATATTTCTTCACCCAAATTCATCAAAATATTTTAAAGAGTGGTACAGTTATCTGCTACAGGTATTTCTGAAGCTAAATTTTGACATTTTAATCATTGAAGCGTATAGTTTAACTGGTGAGTCAGAGTGCTTTTAATGACAGTTTGTATTAATTTTGATATTTTCCTTTGATTAGGACAGAGACAAGTTTGATGACTACTATGCCAACTTTGCCACGACCGTACAAGAACTAGAAACGTTCATGGCGGCCTATCTCCACGCTATGTTCCTTAGAAAGAAGATGAAGACAACTCAAGGATTGGACATAATAACCAGGTTTGGTTTTCTTCAACTCATTGATGCAGTATACACATACCCCGTATTTATCTGTCACATACCTAGGATATGGATACCGAATGCTAAAAGAGAAAATAGTTTAATGCATTGTGGAAATAGTCCAACAAAATGTTTTGATTGAAAGTTTCAATGAAAAAGACATCAATTAAAATACATGTGTAATTCAATAAGATATTATCACTGAAAACAAATAGAAAAAGAATTGAAACATGCCTTGCTAGTTAACTGAATTTTAGGAATTTTGAGCTTTTAAAAATCATATTGATTGATGGTAATTTTCTATTGACTAAAATCAGCATCACCATTTATACACAAACTGTGTTGTATTTCAGATTCGGTCCAATCCAAAGTCGGCCGGGAATTCGAGCTCACATAGCAGAAAAGTTTGTAGAGATCTTTAACTGGTACGAAGCTGACCTTGAGGAGGTTCATAACATCTACGAAACACACAAGGTACATATAGGTTAATGAGGTCATTCCTGTTCATCTGTATCATTACTTACGGTGTCATTGATGATCAGAGGTGAAAATCTTACAGAAAATTATAAAATAGAACTAAAACCACAAATGCTGCTTATAACTTTAATTTTTGTGAAATATTATTGCCATCTTTAGATTGAAAAATACTAATTAACAGTGCATTGAATTACAGTTTAGACATTTTAGGGCGTGTAATCTATAGTGTTACTTGTTAGGTGTGTAGTGTTGATACAAAGTCATGTTTTGTTGGAAACCATAGAATCCAGACTAATGTGATTTAACTGTACTTCCTGTTTGTTAACTAACTGACCTGGTAACCTTTTCACAGGAGAACCCTCAGATGGTGAGGAACGCTCCTCCTGTAGCAGGGGCAATTCACTGGTCCAGACAGCTTCTCAAGAGAATTGAGGACCCCATGAAGATATTCCGTGATAACAGAGCCATCAACCAGCTGGGAGACTTTGGTCGTATTGTCAGGATTTACAACCGACTGGCCACAGCCCTGGTGACCTTTGAGAGTCTATGGTTCACTCAGTGGAAGAACAGGATAGAACAGGCGCGCAGTGGTCTGAGGGCTACTCTGTTTGTACACCACCCCTCTACCGACCAGATTGTCGTCAATGCTGATGAAAGGTGAGTGTATTCTCATATTGCAAATGCTGCTGAATTATCTAAAACAAAATTTGAAGCAAGTAGCATTTAATACCAAGATTTGAAATCATCTGCTATTGTAAGTCATCAGTATAAAGTATAATACACCATATAACTTCTACAATGAGGTGACGATCATATCACACCTTTAGTTGTCTATACAACTCTATATATCCATCAAACTTAGGAAGCAATATGTTTCTCAATGTTGTTAACATTGTGCTTTTTGTGTTGCCAGAGTTTTAGAGCTGATACATGAAGCTAAGTGGCTGACCCGTCTGGGTATCCAGATCCCAGAATCAGCTGTGTCCATTATGCAGCAGGAGTCACGTTTCAAGAACTACAAATCTCACCTGGAGCTTGTGCTGAATGAGTACCGTGAAGTCTGCGAGTCAATCCCTGAACCCCTCATCAAGCTGTTCACTCCACACATGGAATTCGTGGAGCAGCAGCTTCAGGCTGGCCTCACAACCTTGGCATGGAACAGCATGAACATAGGTCAGTATATAGACCAAGGCAT